CACACAGAGACACTTGCACATCTGACTTTTATCCCTTTGGCTAATTTCAATCTCGTTTGACACGGAGGTTCACAGAAGTGGATTATCAGTTTCTCTTTAGTCAATGGAGAAAGACAACCTCATAAACCTCGTTTCCTAAGGCAAAGAAGGTTACCATCCTTTCAGATTTTCTACATATTTTTACAAGCAAACCAGGAAATTACCTGAAGTGTTTTGCAGATTATCTTTAGTATTATCCTAGTACATAATGCAACTTCTTGTACTTAAGGTATGGAAAAAAAATAATGTTCACTTGCTTAAAGCAGTGGTTTGTATATAACAAACGCATGGTTCAAGACCATTCTTACTCTGTTTAACATTATGGAAAGAGAATTCGAAAGGAAAGGAGAAGAATTTAGATAGAATTTAGGTAGCAGAAATGTATCTTGTGGAAGAATATGCGCTTGATAAAAGCTATTGCCTACTTTACACGCATCCCGTGCTACTAAAGCTTTTTAGAAATCACAGATAGGGAAAGTTCAGAATACCCCAACATGGATGCTTTGGCTGACCTCTCCATCAAAACCAGTCATTTTCCCCCCCATTACCTGTTATGTTAGACAAAGCCAAAGAATCCATTGAGTCCCGAACACTTTGTTCTTGCTGTTTCAGGTCAGACAAACATTCAAGTGAACCTCCATACCATGGTGTCTGGTCGTGTTTGTATCCTGATGCCCCATGTTCCATGTCTAGCTCCTGGATTTTCCTGCTGCTGGCAGGGCCTGGGTGGCTGCCATAGGCAGAGTCACCCAAGCCGTCTTGTGACTGGGCCCAGTACATGTCTGATTGATACTTCTTACTTGCTAGGCTTGGATTATTTTTTTTCAAGTCCAATTTGCTCTTGACCATGCTATCAGAAATCCAGTGTTCACTTGATCTAATGTCCACTTCAGCGGGCTGCTGGAAGAGGCTTTTATCACCAAACTTCAGAAGAAGTTGAGTCATGTAGTCTTCATGTTCAGCCCATTCTTCAGGGTCTTCAGGCATTTCTTGTTCTACTCTTCCTTTCCAGAAATCTTCATTAACAAAGCTTGCCTCTTCCCTTGAAAGGCTTAAGTCATCCAGCTTACGAGAAAGAGTATCATCAGCATTGCCTGAAAGGCCAGGAAATTTGTAATTGAGAGCCGGCGACAGGAGGAGAGACTGGCGACACTGGTCAGCTGACCGGCTGCTTTTTCCCATACGAACACTCCTCCTGGAATCTCTGGATCGAGCAGACTGAAATGCAGAATCAGAAGAGTCGGAGGCATGAACATCCTCGCCCAAGCTGCAGGTTTTTGAACAGTAAATCTGTCCTTGCTTTGGAAGGAAAGGGCAGCCAAGCAAAGATGTCTTGCACTGAGCACAAGAAAAGCAAGTCTCTGTGGCATGCCAGTGCTGTCCGTCATAGGTCATCTGAGCATGGTCAACACCTAGAATGGGAGAAAAAGCAATGCTTTGGGTTTCTCTAGAAAAATCACTTGCACCATTGACAATTCTGGGATATGAAGTGATTTCATAACTTGGCTTTCCCTTAATTTGTAAGTTTAATGCTCAAGACGGACATACTTACCAATGTGTTCCCCACAGGTCTCACAGTATTCTGCGTAAAGAGATTCAAAACAGTTACAGCAGAATGGTCGCCCATCCTTCATGATGTATCTCTGTCCACCCAGGATTGTTTCACACTCGAGGCAACAGAAGTGCTTCATGTGCCAGTGGCGACCCTCAGCTTCTGTACACTCATCAGCAAAAATGATCTTTTCAGAGATAAAAAGTAAACTTTTAGTTAAAGTGGCCAAAACCTCACCTTGGGACTTCGAACAAGCAAAACATCCTACTTGTGCAGTTCACACGCTAGATTTATTTTTTATTTATCTGCCTTTTGAATACAAAGGTAGAGACAACAATCTCCCGTAACAACTGCAGCATTTCCTTAAACAGGAAAAAATTAAGAAAAACTGTACTTTTTAAAGCAATTAAATGAGAACATAAGAACTCAACAATTAAAGAAGCTGCTATCAGGATGATATTTTGGAATATTTGTACAGATCCTTTTTCTAATTTAATCTACAAGATTCAATTCTAAATACAAACAGGCATGTGCTCTCTAAATACCATCACCTTGCTTGTAATATTGCCGATTTGACAAGAAATTAAGCACCTCTCAGCTTTCAAACACATCTATCTATGCATCAGGGTCCTTACTTTTTAAGTGAATGCTTATGAAGTTATTAATTGCCCAAATAAGCGATGCAGCTTGTTAACGGAACAACAGTAGCCATGTAGATTGTCCGTAAAATGTGAATTACTTACCTCATCACAGGCTGAACATCGAGGTTTGAGAAGTTCAGCGTGGTGTCTGCCACAGTGAATTTTTCCATCTTGGTAGAAGTAGATAAGGTCAACGAGTAGCTCATTACACGTGAAGCACACAAAACACGAGGGATGCCAGCACACACCAGGCCCAGCTCTCGAGGCAAAAACCGCAACTTCACCGCCGTTTACTTTCATACCACACTAGGAACAAAACCAGAAAGTGAACACACTTCCCATCCCAAGCTACTAGCTTCTACCAGTTAAACTAAGTTAAAATACCAAACCCAATATGCAGGTTTTATTCCAAAATTCTGACAAGAGGGAAAAAAATATTCTCAATTTTGGTCTAGAAAAACTCAAAATCATCAAAAATATTTTTGTGAATAGAAGTTTATATTCTACATAATAACATTTTTAAGCATATGCCTGTTTTTCATTTGTCCTTACTTTAGTACAAGTCAGCAACAGGTTTTATTGAGTAGAAAATATATCAAAGATTCAGTTCATTCCTAGTATCAAAGCTTGTGTTTTGCTTAAGCAAGCACTACCTTCTTTCTACTTACATGCAGTTTCAAAAATATTCCTGGGGGTTTTTTTGTGTTCAGACATAGACAGAGATAAGCTTACATGGAATTTTGAGATACTGTGGTTTTACATTACTCAGCCTGCTAGCTGGCTTGTGGCACCAGCAGTATTACCTGTTCGCAAACCGCATGCATCACTGCTCTTGAGAGTAGTTTAATGGTGCCTCGGCCAAGTGCCTCCTTTTTGCGCTGAGAACTGAACATCTGCAATTCCTTCTTTTCTTCTTCACTTAAAGACTGGCAGTATCTCACCTTCCCGTGAAAACGCAGAACTTATTTTAGATACTGAGCTTTTAAAGTAACAGATTAATAAGTAAATGCATATGTGCAGGAAATTCATCAGGCATGCTGGCAATCATCATTAAACTTTCCAACTTGTCTTGTCTACCATCTTAATATTTAGCTAATATGGCATAAAACAAAAGTAGTCTGGAGAGAGATTTTGCATTACAGGGAAGAAAAAAAACCCCTACCATGCTACACAAAGAAGTTGTCTAGAAAAGAAGTAAGATTTTAAAAAGCCAAACCAAAACCTGCTGTCCTCCTAAAATAATGGAATGAACCTCAATCAGCCGTAACATTGTCCTTTAGATTTATGGTTAAGTGCCCACAACTAAGTATTGCAGTATACACAAGATCTCAAGTATTGACACCCCCGCCCCCTTTCCTTACAAAGAGCTTGTTTGTTATTTCCACTTCTACTCCAAATTACACCGCATATCTGAGATGCAAACCTTTTACTATCACAAAGCATCCTTTCTGTGCGCTACAATGCAATTCCAGGAATTCGTAGGTTCCTGGTAATTGGTGGGTGGCTGCAAACACTGTAAAACCAACTTGTGTTAAGTTTATTGCAGTGACAGCAGCCTCCCCAACAAGCAAAGGCAGCGTCCTCCCAGACAGCCCTTATCTGCACCCAGCCCAGCCCGACAGCCGAACAATGGACGCGGTGTACGCACCGCGCTGCTTTACGGGTCAGATGCCACCGTAGGCCACGCTTTAGGCTTGCAATAAATACACAGGTAGGTAAACCCTCCACGTAAAAGCCGCCGGGGAGTCCCAAGCCCTGACAGCGCATCCTAAATTCTGTCTTTACCTCATTATCGTGGGGTGGCAGCTGGTAGAGCAGTTGTTTAATTCGGTGTTTCTCTCCAGGGCTGTTAACGTAAGGGACCTTCTCCTCCGGCAAGCAGGCAAAATACAGCTGGACCTGACCAGGAGGAACGCAGAGTTCAGATCGAGGGACACGTGCCACCCAAGCACCGCAAGCGTCCTTCAGCTACTGCTTTATCTCGGGTCTCACTTACGAAGGAAGAAGGCTACGCTACATTAGACCCGTGACAGGGTTTGTGCTGAAAATACGAGACCCAGCTCAGCAAACTTGAATTGTCTCTGATAAAACTAGCACCCAGCTGCTGAATTGCTTTTCTGGAATGCAATTTGCAGTGACAATTGGGGGGGTATCATAAATTATGCACATTTAATGTTCTCATTATTCCCACCCCCTTCAGGGCTGGTCAACAGCCCCGTGGAAATTCCAAGTTTCCCTCTGCAATTTACCACACAAGGCATGAAGCTTTCCAGAAAACAGCCACTATATAAACAAATTTAATTTGCTCTCTGCGTTTTACACATTGTTGAGACAAAAGCTGTTTTGTAGTCTCCTGCTGATCAGGTTCACCCACAGCATCAGCTTTCATTGCTTCCATGTGGGCTTTGGTAAGAAGGTGGAAACATCCTTCCCTTGGGAGGAGGCTGAATCCAGCCACGTTTCAATCAGATGCAAATTAACTATGAAATTTTCACAGGCTGCACGTTTTTGATAAAGAAATCAGTATTAGGTGTACACACCTATCAATCTTCACTTCACCCCCCAAAAAAAATTATGACAGGAAAGCTGTAATGAACACTATGACAAAGTCCAATGGCAACAAATATTTTTGTGGAACAGCTTACAGATTTATTGTTTTTCCTATGCAGTTTCCAGCTTGTCACAAGGCCTGGGGCTGTAAATAAGAGCCGACTATTGGCAAAAATATTACTTGCCATCCAGATTTAAATAATACTCAGGTCAACAGCTTATTACTGTGCAAGACAGATGAAAAAGAAGCAGTAATCAGTCACTGGACTCGGGAAGCAATCAAAATTATATAAGAAAAGTTGTACAAAATATGACTTGGTCTTCATTTAACCAAAATTTAAACATCAGAAGTGAACTGTAAGCCCACTTACTACTGACTGTACTGCAAGAAGCTGCAGGGAAAGATAACAACATGCAGTAAGAAGTGAAGCTTCCCTTTTTCACAAGTTTATTGTGCTGTTCTCAAAATAAGTCATTCTTCTTGGAAAAAAATATTTAGTGAGTTTGAGCCAGCTGCTTTATGAGGATATTTTAGGGCATTTGATTGTTCTGGCAGAACGTTAGCTTGCTGTTTGCCTTTAGGTCTGATTCATCAGAATTCTTATATATGCTTAAGTAAGTGATAAAAAGATTTTCCCTAAAAATAGCTCATTATTTGCCATTCCTGATGACTTGTTACTTTATTCCTGATTAAGAAAATCTCTGCATAGCAAAAAGGAGACAGCTTCTGCACCTTTCTAAGTATGGACTGCACTAGCTTGCCAGCTGAAGGAGGGTTGCTCTGCCTCCGTTAGTAGATGCTACAAAGCCACTCTGTCCATTTAACACTGAAGTCTGAGCTTGGGATATTACCAAGTACACAACTTCAGAACAGTTGCAATCAAGTAAATGAATACCAAGAGAGGTTCATTTTGATCTCCCATAGCAACTTGCTCATCAATAGTTTCACTTTTATTTCCGTTACCATAATGTTATAGCAGATAAAGAAGAAAGGGGAGAAGGGAAGGAACAGCCCAACCAACCCACGACCGTCAGCTCCAGAGACCGTACAAGAGAAATCTTGGCATGAACAAATGGCAGCCATACAACTATTTAAACAAGCGTAAAATACATTACTACTTGTCACAGTGACAGAACACTTTTGTTTATGTGCGCTGTAGTAACGTACATGTTCTAGATGTCAAATGCCTAATTATTTAAAGAGTTGTCCAAGTGCAGTGAAGTACTGGCCAAGTAGCACAATGCCACGAGGTATGCCATAAGCCTTAACTTAACCTAATAACTTATTTCAGGAGGGAATCAAATTTCTATGCTGCTTTTAGACTTAATAATACATACCTCTGTGGCATATATTTATTGAAAAATCTTGACTGGGAACTTTTTTTGGAACATAAAACTCCTTGGTGTTGAGGATTTTAAGCTCCCTAAACACAGCCTCATTGGAATAGGAAACAAAACACGAAGTGTTCTAGACCAGTTTAAGTTTTATGCGTTACAAGAATTTAATAAGACTTGCAGAGGAAGTGTATCGCTCCCTTAAACAGTCCTTACACGGCTTATTTTAAAAACACAGAAGCACAGTTGGTACCTGCTCTGGTCTGAGGCCTGGGGGGACCCAGGCGTATTCTTCCAAGGCGCAGCCAGAGTCATCATCAGATGTTGAGCTTCGCTGGCATCCGAAAACGAGATTGTTGGCTTTGGGCTCCATCTCCAATGGCATAAATGTGAAGTGTTAAATATTTCAGCTGCAGCTCATCAAGCAATTGATCTGGAAGAAGAGATTAACAGAGCTTTAACAAAATTTGAACATGCAACAACTAATTATCAGTTTAAATGATCTTACAACAGTTTAGTATTCTTTGAGTTGCCCAGAACAGTAAATGATTGAAGTGTCATTAAAACTTGCTACAAGCAATTCAAAAGTGCTTAAAAGAGTTATGAAAATAAAACTACTCAAGAAAAAGATAACTAGACACACACTACCATGTTTGGCAACCACAATGTATTTCAATATTAACACTTGCCAGCTTTTACACTTCTGCTTGTTTCACATCACAGGTTATACGTAGGCATATCTAGGAGGGACTCACTGAACAGGTATTAACAAAAGGAACAACAGCTGCTCCTCCTGAAGTCATTACTACCACCAATCTAGTAACACAAAAGACATGACAACCGCTTGTCAAAAACTAAAGAAATTGTTGGGGAAAGACTGTTGTGCAAGTAGCGTCCCGTTTTTCACAAGGTAGGCACAGAGCAGTGAGTGTGTGCTGGATTCCTCCGAGAACTTTGTTTTAGCTGTCTCGGAGTGGAAGGGCGTTGGTCCAGTTGAATATCTGAAATCCAATTATGCCAGATTAGGCTCTGTAAAATGCATCATGATTGTTCTGTTAATTTAAAACCCTACAGGGAGATGCTTCTGTTGATTCATGAAGCCTGCAAAGCTTAGTATCAGCGGGATCATTTTCAGTCACAACTGGCAAAGAAGGCTCTCACCAACATCCGTAGCATTCTGCAGTAAAAAACTTACGAAGATAAGTATCTTACATTAATTCTAGCAGAAGTTCTTCAGTAATTCAGACCATGAATGTCAGTGAAATATAGATAACCAAAAGCAGAGAGGGTGTATCCTACCGTGACAGACATCCTGACCACTGGGTTTAGAAACAAGCTTGGTTTTTTACAGTACAACATTACACATGAACAGTGCCTTCCCCTTTTTAGGCAGTTCTTTCACCTATTCATCTAAACACAGCTTAAATTTTGTCAGTAGTAGATCTGAGCTGTAGAAAATGTTAATCTCCTTGACATATAACCTTGCTGGTGGGTCTAAAGGGGAGAGCAATTGAAAAACTTCTGGTGGGTCCCACATAACATTTCCAGTCTCATCACCATCATATTAGAGAAAACAAGTTGCTGCTAGATCACAGGTGGAAGAAAGATTTAAGACCGCGTACCCAAGTATTCTGCTAGTTCCTCAACAGGAGTTTCTCCTCCTTCAAGCGTGAGGCACTGGTTAGTGCCAGTATCTGTTGATTCAGTATGTAAACCCAAACCTGCTCCATAAAAAGTGGCCACATGCATCCAAAGCTACCAACTCGGAGAAATTACGATATTTGATGACATTCATCAAATGACAGTATATCTATCCCTGTTTTCAATACGTCTATACATTCCCACACCCAATAAAAAGAGATGGGATTACTTAACTCTTCCAGTGGGCTAGTGCTCAAAAAAGTTACCTTGTTTGTTAACTTTACCTTCTGGCTCAAAAACATACACTATTTTTGCTGCACTGCTAAGATGCCAACACGCTTCTGTTGCACTGCATAGCTTCACTACAGTAATGATGAAAGGTTCATTTAATATTTGCTGGGGCAAGCAAACCTGCCAACCTCCTCTTTGAGGACAGGCTATTTCTACAAAGCTTGTGAGTTGTCAGGCAAATTTCTGAAATCCTACTCTATCTGAACAACTAACTTTTGTGAGCAAAACAGCTTCTGAGCTCAGCATCACCCTATTACAATCTCGGTCAAGGAAGGTGAGTAAAACCAAACTCAATCCTAAAAGCTCAATCCTATATGTTTAAAATAGAAAGACAGACATCCTGGTGCATACTAGATCCCTTGAATTAGTTTCCATCAGAAACAAATGGTAAGACAAATGATACAAAACTGTTTCCCCTCTCCATGTACTAGTGGAAATGAAGTCGAGCGTCAGGTGTGTTTCTGTTATTGCTTCTATAAAACTGGGGTGCGAGGAAGGAGAGATAGAGGAATACTGTGATGCAGCTAAGAAATCATTCCTGCAAAAAAAGGCAGCAGTGCTCACTGTCGCAGACGGACGGGGATGCTCAAATTGGCAGCTTGTCCCCCGCATCTTAAGTATAAAATCACTATGAGTATCACGGAGAAGCCCAAGTCCTTCCAGCATGATCTTAGCAGCAGATGAACTGTTTTATAATTTCCCTTCAGAAAGAGGTAGGTATCTGGTTTATAACAACGTACCACTCACCGACGCCTAAGCTGGTATTTCTAATTCTTACAGCATTGCAACACAAGAACCTGCGTTCGTCAGATTGTCACTTTTCAAGAACCCAACCTCAACCGCACCGTGGAAAGCAGATCTGAAATGCAATTTAAGGCAAAGAGACAGGTTGAGCTCTGGCTGGGCACTGGAGCAGGGTGTACCCCTGGCTCGCTCACACGACACCCGGCACTCATAAGCACACAGGTAATTGAGTGATTGCTTCATACTGATTGCTCAAAAATCTAAGATCAAAGATTGTTCTCACTAAGATCAAAGATTAACTTCTCTTGACTTACTTTCTTCTCTTGAAAGACAAGGAAACAACCCAAAATCTGGCGAATGATGACGTGTTAACTCTTCTGAGGATTTCTGAATGCTAAAGCTACAGTGCTACCTCTACATGGTAGAGCACTGGGTAATGTTGGGATTTCAAGTATAGCAAAGGTACATAAGTACAGGAGCATTGCCTTATTCCAAAGGAAGACAAGGCACTGGTAGGAGAGAGACCTCGCTGCTTTTCCACGGAAGCTGATCCTGCCTAGGTCACCTATGACCCATCCATTTCAGACAGCATGTACTCCAGCTCCCACAGGAGAAAACCACAGACCCACAGGCCCATTTTCCCGGTGATACAGGGCAGGTTGAAAGTATGACTGGTAGAAAACAAAGGAAAAATATACCTTTACGCCCAACTGTAAAATGCAACTTTACAGTCAGGGTGCTTTTCCCAGATTAGGCAATTGGAAATGTTTAAAGCGAGGTTCATAAATCTCAATGAACGAAGATTACTCAAAGGACAGCATTAGTTTAAAAGAAAAACACTACCATAAAGCTAACGTTAAGCCAGCTATAAAATGACTGACAGTATACCATATATCGATATGGCCATGTCACAAATACTGTGGCATTGCTGAGGGTGAGGTTTCTAAACCAGCCCAGCTTAACAGCAGGCTATCTGCAGAACTATTTTAGCAATTACTTGTTTAGGAGTTTCTCCTTCCTCTCCCGCTCAAGTGTAATTTGGGTTGCATTTTAAAACTACAGGGTTCTTCCTTCCCTCCCCCCCACCGCACTCATCCTTCAAAGTGATCTGTTTAAAATGATTACATCCTAAGGAGGATTCAAATGAACATAAACAACAGCTGAAAAAATAAACGCTTTCTGAGGGATGAGCAGAAAGGTGGTCTTTCTACTCCTGCCATGACGTCCACAAAACACAGCAAGAATGTTTTGTTTTGCTTTCTTAAAGTTGGTGGAACATTTTGAGATTTCGGCTCTGTTCAAATACTACCTCTCAAAAAAGCTTCATAGCCTACAAGGAGGTATTTCATTGGCAGCTTGACAACTATGAATAACATAATTGAATTAAACAGCTAAATTTGATTTAAAAAGAAAAGCAATTAATATTTTTTTTCCACTGATGTATTAAAAAGACTGCATTATGACAAAGTTCTTAAGAGCCAAGACAAACTACACTCCTAATTAGAAACCTATCGGTACACAAAATATCAGGATATCAAACTTAGAGCAAAGCTGTTGTTGAACCCCATATGAAGGTTATGCCCCTGCTAGGATTTCCAGCTCACTGATTATGTTCACCCCTGACCAGATAGAAGAGGTCATGATTTGTGAGCACAGTTAGAACAAACATCTCCTTGCCCATCCCCTGCTGTTTTACTCTGTCCTGCAGGGCAAATTGTTTAACAACTTTTTTGTTAGAAGGCTTGTTAACAAGGCTATAGGGGATACAAGATGCATATCACATGCATCCATTCACAAAGAAGGCTCAACGAGTTCAGATTAGCATGGCCAGCCCATTCACCTGCTTATTTAATCCCTGGTGCATGATAACTACATTAGAAGAGGAAGGGTGTAATACCGCAGCAATAAACCACCATAAAATAACCATTAATAATTTAAAGGCTGTTTCCAATGTGTATTACACGAATGATCTGAACGTCCCGTTCCCTAGCTAGAGTACAAGTAACGTATTTACAGACAGCTCTGTACTTGGGAAATCTGGACCCAGAGCTGATGGGCAAAATTTCTATCAGCACCAGCGCAACACCCACTTCTTCAGCTGTTGGGTCCTTTGCGTGACGAACCGGCCGGAGCAGTGGTGGAAGGAATGAAGCCTGTAATACTTGTTCATTCAACAGACAAAGGTTTATGGACCCTAGAAGCAAGAACTTTTTTTCCCTGTCGTCAGCCAGCATACAAGGACCAGCAGAAGACTTAACCGCTTTCCTCCTCTAGCATCCTAGCACAAAGATCACTTTTCCAACTGGAAGTCGGAGGATCCATCTCAGGGTATTTTCTTTTGGCCGGCCATACCGCAAAGAGAGGCGACCTGCGTGAGGGAAAGGAGGAAGCGCTGTGACAAAGCATCGCCCCCCCGCCAGCGCATCGCGACGCACTGTGCTTGGCGCTGCGTAGCGCTGACGGAAAGAGGAGCGCACGCTGCAGCCAGGCAAGAGCCAGGGCTCCGGCCGAGGAAGCGGCATTCTCACGGCTGCTGCCCCCCCACCTTAAGAGGGTGTACAGATTTAGAAAGAAAGAAATCTTGCCTTTTACAGTCTTCCATTGATTTTTTTTTTAAATTCTATTTTAAACAGCAGCCAGACTTTACTCCAACGTACACATATACTCAGGTTTCACCCCGTCACCTGTTGGCTCCCGAACAACACCCTT